GTAGGATTTTTCTAGTGGAAGGGTAGCTCACGTGGACCAGCTTCTCCTACTACCTTCAAATCCAACGATCCCCGAACGAAAAAAAGCTTTGTAGTGAATATGAGCCTCGATCTGGAGCGCGCCATGCACATGTGTTCAAATCGACTAACATGCAGTAGTCTGCCAGAACTGGAGACAAATGGCAATTGGGAACTGTCTCCTAGAACATACGGGGTTTACTGGGTATCGCAGATGGAGCGATTACGGTACCTGCAGAAAAAATGGTTCCTTCCTGGTGACCTAATGCGGGATAAGGCTTTAATAATTCCTAAAAAAAACAGTCAGATATCTGCCAAGTCCAGCCGGATAGCTTTCAAATTGGCACAGTCGTTGAGGACTGGGTCACTCCAAGCGTGTGTGCTCCCGGTGATTGCGAGTGATTTCTAGTCGGTCGTCAACAACGTTACGACAGGTGTAGGATGTTTGCAAACACTTTACGCTGAAAAGCTAGCTATATAACGGTCGTTCAGGATATGCCTCAGGACAGGCTATCACTAGTCCGCCGTTTCACAGCACGGCTTCTTTCCCCGCTCATTTCCCCTTTCGAGCCACAACGAGGCTCAATTTGTCGCACGATCTATTCGGAAAAGCCTCTCAGTTTCTTCAGTCCTCTACGGGCCACTACCGTAGTCGTTTTTCTCCTTCACACTGCCTTATTTTGAACAATTGCGGAAGTTGAAGTGTTTCAGGGCATGTCAGTCATTGTATTCGCCGTCCTGCTGGCCGTTGCTACCGCTCAGCCATGCCCTGGTTGTGGACCGTCGTTCTTCGCACCACCGCCCTGCTTCAATCCACCATGTGCCCCACCACCTCCACCATGCTTCAGTCCACCATGTGCCCCACCACCTCCGCCACCGGTAACTTCCAGTTTTGAGCTCATTTTTCGGACCAAATGACCCGTTCACGTTTTCAGATGTTCTTCATGCCACCTCCACCAGCGCCATGCTATGGTGTAGCGTGTGCACCTCCACCACCACCGCCACCACAGATCTTCTACGCTCAACCTCCACCGCCTCCATGTGTCGGTATGGCTTGCGCCCCGCCACCCCTCCATGTGTAGGTATGGCATGTGCACCACCGCCACCACCTCCACCACAGGTAAGCTACACTCATTTTTGGCCCCGCCACGGTTCAGGTATTTTCTCAGTGAAATAATGCTCAAATTCAGGTCATCTTTGCGGCTGCACCACCTCCACCACCACCGAGAATCATGTTCCAAGCTCCCCCTCCGTGCTCAGCTCCTCCTTGTGCACCACCGGCCTTCTTTAACCCACCATGCTCGGGTTTCGGTTGCGGTATGGCCCCACCACCCCCACCTCCACTCTTCGGTTCGGTTCCTTGCTGCTCTATGATGGGTGAGTTACAAGGAGCCATCCCCTCTTGCCGAAAATCTTCGTTACCGTAACCTCTGACATTTAGATTTCTCGTGCTGTCGACGACTGTTCCGTAAGAGACAGATCGAACAGCCTGAGAAGGTACCAGAAGAAGCTGAAGAGACTACAGAAACCGAGGAGAAGAAAAGAAGCTAGATGTCTCGTAACTATTCTTAGTATCTGTACATTTTGAACGCTTAAAAGTAAATTATTTCGCTAAGAAACTGAGCCATACTGAATTCGAATTGCCTATTGGCTTTACAGTTTGAGTGAGGGATTGCGAGGAAAACACGAGACGACGCGAGCGGTTGCGCTGCGCGTATGCAGAGAGCCGTGTGGAGTAATTTCCATAAAAAGCAGCCACCATTTCTGGCAAATCATTCAAGGCGTCAAACAAATACTACACGACGGCTTGACGGCGCAATACGCCGCACGCACAACTTTGTGCCAAAATACCGTACACAATTCGTAAAAAAATCGTACACACGGGCAAATGGTACGAGGAAGAAGGCTTCATTCTTTGACTGGCGCATTTCAGGAATCTATAAATCTTTATTCATCGCCACATAGCGTTGTAGCCTTCGAAATAGACATCGTTCTCACGGTGTTTCTCATTGGACGCCAAAGAGAACGAATTTTTCTGACGTTGCTTTTTGTGCTTTCGGATTATGTACCAGAGTACGAGGGCCGACAACAGACAGTAGTGTGACGGAAACTGAAAAGGCTAGTATTGTAAAAAAAACACATAGAAGCTTCTGATGCTTCTAAAGAACTACTGACTCTCCTAAAGGCAGTGGAAGCGATCGGTGTAAGGCGGAGCTACTTTGAACACATCACTGGTGCAAAGAAGTCCGTTCAACCACATTTCCCAGCTCGCTTCCACCAGTGACATCTCTAAATTAGTTCCGCCTCCCAGCCGTCGCGCTCACTGCACTTAAAAATTTAAAGGCAGTGAACACTATAATGGAGGGCGGTGGGCCTGCGTGACGTCATTGAACGTCAATTGCGGAAGGGCCAAGAGGTGGTCCTCGCAGAGGATCTGTAATCAGTACACAGAACTATTCCAGAGCCAGAAAATCCACTGCTCCTGCCGCATGATAGCTGGTAACAAGGAAACTAGGGCCTTGAGACTTGTTGCAGATGGCTGCAGCTGTCAT